TACATATATAACCTCGCATATATCGTGGCGATTATGAAAGGGCAAGCCTACTTTACAATTCAAGCGCCTGAATACTGGTCTTTTTTTCTAGGACAAGCTTTTCAGTGCCGAACCTAAACACCAAGATGAGAATGTGTGTGCCCAAATGGGCCAAAATGGTACTCTTAAAACAATGTTCCGCAAAAGTCACACTGCCTTTGTCTCAGATCCCTCAGAAGCCTTCTATCACAGCGGACCGTCGATTTTAAGCAATTAAGCAAAGCGCAAATCAGGTAACAGTTAATTCGGTATAAAAACAGTGGACAGTTAATCTCTGCAATGGCGTTATTGTTGTTAATATTGTTGTAAACACTAACGACCCAAATGCAATTTTCCCTTAACACACATTGCGGCTTTGTCGAACACCACCACAGGATAATTACTTGCTACTAAGCATAACTATGGAGGGTTTCAAGTGTGATAATTATGATATCGACATGCTGCAAAGAGTGTTCGCCCACGGGACAGCTACTGAAACGGAGCTTTCTCGTTATCGGAGCACCAGTTGGTTACCATGTTTGTCCATGCCCAATCCCCATGTGAAGCGTCCTGGTAAATGCCGTAGGTGCCATATTATATATGTGTGTAAACTGGCTTCTGGCAACGACATTAGGTACAACCGAGACGAACCTTGCAAAATAATCCTATATATAACCAATAAAACCTAAAAAAATAAGGTCATATCAGATATGACACGTTATTATATTCAATCGGCGTTTTGCCCTCATATTTGGCATTTGACAATGTTTTAATCATCTACACCAAACACAACTGGTCTAGAATCGTTCTACATAGCTAGGTTTTTCAAAGGTTTAGAATTATCGATTACTGAAATATTACTCGATATTAGAATTATCATATGTTGAACTGACCAAAGGGCATTTATTATGTATTAGCTTTGTAATTATGTCAATCTCATACGTTAGTGTATTTATCGTTTTCGCATGCTGCAACAGGGACGAAGATGATATCTTTATTTCGGTAACTTATAACCGTTTGTTTAGTTATAAAGGACACCGACGGGTTTTAGCTGATTCCTAATTGGTCGATAAATCAGTCATTAGGCTCGTGCAATCGGCAGATTCTTCAGATGAATTCGAATACAGGTGGGAGACGTACTTTGACGTTTTTTTCTAGACGCTCGAGAATTTTTTCCAATTCTCGTTCGTTTTTTGGGTCAGGATTCCCCTTGCCGAAAAGCTTATATAAGGTCCGTTGAGCGTGGTCTAAGCGATTCATGTTATACTCGATATCTTCGATAAGCTCCGCCTGCCGTCGTCGCGAATCCATTTCTTCTGTGTGAGCTTGGAGCAGTTTATTTCTGAGAGTGTCGATACGACCCTGTGTTTCCTGAAACCAGAAGTGTCTAAAGTAGCGAACCATGATTCCGAAATCGAGTCCCTGCAGAGATCTGCGCTTGGGGTCAGGCGGCGCTTGTTTGAATGAGGGGTGGCTATTGCGTCTAACGTCGAGATATTAACTGCACCAGAAGAAACAAAAGTAGTATTAGAGGAATAGTTGACAGAAGTAACAGCAGCAAAAGATATCGCGGAAACGAGATAAGCAGATGCACCATATATTTTCTGAAAATAATAAATGCTACCCTATTCGTTTCAGATAGTTTACCGGTTAACAAGTATCCTTGCGCATCTTTAACATTTGGTCCTCATTCGTATACAGCTTGTGTCACACTGATTTAATGTGTACATAGCGAAATCCTAGCGCTTAGTTTATTATCGAATGCATTGTATAATCTACTTATTTCACTTTTATGCATTAAAGCCATTCGATAAAAACGTCTACCAGCTCTTCACCATAAGTTATGTTTCTTCAAAGTTTATGCGAAAGCGTGAAACGTTTCGCTGTATGTTTATGACCTGTGGCAAGATTGACTGAGCAGCGAAGGGTCCGCCTCGCGCAATTACATTATTAAAATTTGGTAACTTTTTTAGGTAGAGGGGATTTTGCACTTTATTTTGTTATATACGAAACTAGTAAACCATCTATAAAAAGAGTGTGGCGCTCCGGATACACGTTTTAACAGAGCACGTATTAGCAATTTCCCTAGCCCCAGATGGTAGCGCAAACGGAAGGCTACGCGAGCCACTATATTAGATAAAATTGACTTCAGTTTTGGTGTGATCTTTTTCACCTATCAATGTGGCTCCATAAACGAGATCCGCTAAAGAGACTCTACAAGCATGTAAGTTGTTAAATATGCAGATTCTCTATATCCCAGATGGTTCGAATTTTCTGTTTGATACTGCCATTAGACCTTTCATTACACGACTGGTTCCCGGCATGAAACGGCTACACCGGAAATCGCACCCTACCCACCACTTGTCCCTCAAATTTAGCACCACTATGCGACCACGGGAACACAATATTTTCATCCACATCGTACCAACATCTCCGAAACGAGATTCACATACCAGAAAAAGAAACATCGAAAAAGGGGAAGACTATTTAATTACACCTTCACGAAGCTTCAATGCATCGTTAACTACTCTCTCACGGTGTTCTGCAAATAACTTGAGACTCGCTACCAGCATATTATTGTTAATTAATTAACTTTGATGTTTATTAATAAACATAAAATTGAATAAGAATTTCTCAAGACTTTTCTTTTGTGCCATGCGGCCTGTTTTTTTTGTACACAGACATACAACAAATGGCTACTTATAATAAGTAGCCATTGAAAAAAAGAGGAGCTTTTTTGTTATTATCAATATTCTTGTAGCATCCCCGTAGTAGCTTAGCGAGTATGTATTTGTCTACTAATCTCAGAGACACGTGCTGGTCAGGGTTAGAATCTGGGCCTAGACACACTAGACATAGGTCTTGTGTATGAAGTCTGATAGAGGGCTTAACGGCGATGTCTCCTCGGATGGCAATGGAAAATGCAGTTTTAAATACGAACTTACAGATGGACAAAGTCACTCCGTCACCAGAAAACACCTGTTGCCGTTAAGCAGGCTCGTGATACGCCTAGCAATACAGGCATACGCGACGGGCGTCCAATGTGTGTGAAGTTAGTATCTAATAGCGATCTGCATAAACACTACGAAACACACCGATATTGCCCATTACTAATAAATCGATTATATGAGAAACTGCAGAGTGATCCAGTGGAGGTAAATCGTACAGATTAGTTGCATCCCGATGTGACAATAGGCGAACCCCGGTGCGAGACTGGGCTAAAGGTCACCGGCGTTCAGTTTCAACGTACTCAATAGTATTCAATAACAGCAAGGAATATAGTCATGTACCAAAAATTAACGCGTCAGCGTTGCACGTTTAACGACGACGTTGTCACGTTCATATGAAATCCAATGGATTTCGAACGAAAAAATTCAAATCTAGAACATTCATAAGATGTGCGTTCCCAGGAAGTAGCAACCATATTATTACTTATTTATTAACTATGAATAGACTAGGAAATGTGTCTAACCACCACAGTACCCACGATGTTCGTATCCTTTTAAATGTTCCCCCAGAATTTTCCTTTCTAAGGCTTACGAAGCTTTTATCGCAAACAGTTTCGGCAGTACCTATTTGATCACTAGGATTATGAGTAATGAACATATCCAATAGCAGACGCACAATCAGAGTTAGACGCCGTGTCCCTCTAGCGGCACTGCGTACGACTTCATGCTCAAATATGTTGGTCGTCTTCATCAACGTTACTTAACAGCAACGTTGTGTATACAAAGAAACGGGACGACTACATACGGGACTGTTGTGTGAACGTTAACTAAATTTGCATTTGTTTGAAGTTATTAGGACAAGTATATGCACTACAACAATGTTAGCTACGAAACACATATGGCTTCGTTCTCAGGCAAGTTTCGCTGCGCGACATCGATGCGGTCAACCAAAATTATTATCAAAGCGTTAAAGAATGCAGCGGAGACTACCCATCGTGACAAATCGTTTGCCGTATAAATTTGTTTCTACCAGATCGGAATAGGTGGCACATGAACGAATTTCTCGCTTGTCAGATGTTCGATATGAACAACGCCTAAAAGGTTTTAGTTAGGCAAACATAAAAGCTCAAATCAACCCACATGTGCCATGTTGCTCTTGCAACATCTTATGGATTATTTGCATACAGCTGAAGAAGAATACACGCCGGATCTTGTCGTCTGGCAGAAGAACGTTGACTTTATACATTTTTAGATATAGTCCGACCAAAAATTTAGTGCAATTCACCTCACTCGGTCATCTTCTTTAATGTCTTTTGCATTTCATCGAACTTTTTTTGTTAAACATAATAAATAGCTATATTTTTTCACCGCAGCTTCGCCTATCTGAAAACTACATCCTGTAAAAGAGTTACGCTCTATAAAAGTGAATGTAATAATTTTTATGTAACTTGTAATAACTTAATGTAACGTGTTATATTACATGATCGGTCAGTGAGCTATGTGGGCCACTCGATTTCGAGCATCTCTAAAACACGATATTTGAAGTTGACGCTAATTTTGCAGAGAAATTAAACAAACTGTGTGGCCCCAGAGTACTTAATAAAACGGGCGTGTGTGTGGGTTAATATAAAATAAAGCACAACAGTTTCGGTCGCATTGTACCACCGGTTTTTGATGCCAATGTTACTTTTGAGAAAAATTTTTTCCATATTTTTTTGCCATAAAACATCTTCTAGACAAAACTACGTAATCGAAATATGCCTCGCGTTGCAGGTAACCTTGCAGAGCCACAACGATCACGGTTTTTCAATTCTGATCAAATGGCAAGATGGCGCGCACAAGTTACTACTTTTTTGTCGAATGCGACTCGTGGATATACCAGTATCTAGGTCATTTGAAATTCAGCTTTACACTGAGCACGAGCACCGTATGTGAGCCTATAGCGGGCTTATCATTTGAGCCTGCCTTTGGCTTGGCAGTAAATAACTAAAAAACATCGGCTTCTCTAACAACAACTGGAGCTCTTTCTAGATGAGAAAAACTATTCGCCCCATGTGCGTTGGGAACTTGCCAGTCACTATTAATTTCTTTGTCAAAACCCCCGATGTTGTGTACAATGCTGTGCTTATCATACGGAACGGCCAAGTTATTTGTCATGTACATACTTATGGTACTTCACAGCTGCAGAAACCAGCTGCATCATTAAGTACGATTTCGGTCGGGTAAAATGTTTTGACTGTCTCCAAGATATTTCAGTTAGCAATCTTATTTGAGAAGCTTTGTGGGTTCTGCAATACTCTTATGTTAACGAATTTTTCGATCTCTGACGAATCTTTTATTTATTCCCAAATTTTTATTAGTTAACTATTCATGTCACTCTTGATCTTGATACCAATCTTTCATATACTTGAGCTTTGTTCTGCTTATACGGTATGTATGAAGCCGATGAAATACAAAAACACTGATAAGCACCTAAACCCTTCCATAAAGATAGCTACTACCGAAAACGACATGTTACGATTTACCTTCATACATCATAGTCACGTGTGTGGTCCCCACACACGTGACAAAAATTTCGACTCTGTTTGGCAACTAACCGACAACGTCTAGCCTTTTTGCTAATGGTTAGATGGGTAATTGAGACTCACCTTCGTGGTCTATTAGTCTATTCCATTAGGTTTAATTTTAACATGTTTTATCAGAGGACGTTCCTGCAGCAAGTATGAAAAATGCTGGGTGTATAAACGGAAAAACTATCACAGTGAATCCTGTAGAGCGACTAATAGTGAACTACCTGAAGTTTCTTTTTTTTTTTTTATCTAAAGCGTTGCTTTTACGCAATCGACTTCTCGGACGAGAGTGTTCCGGTCCGTATAGACAGATCCTGACAGATTTCTTTTGTTTGTTACGCTGTCGAAGGATGTCCGGTTATAGGGTGCGTTCGATTCGCACATAGGTAACTTCTTTGTTGTTAATCTAATACTGATATATCTATTCACAAGAGACGTGAACATTCGCGCCACATGACAAGTTCCTCCTCGCAGGCCGCTAAGTAGCCGCCGAAGATGAGTGAAAATAGTAGTATGAAACAAAACGCGCCAGATATTTGTTTACGCTTAATCGTTTTGCCAAAACTTGATATCACACGATTGTCGAGAAGATTTCGTCAGCCACGAGAGCGCATCAGCAGCCATCGCTTCTAGAACGTGCATCGACCCGATATTCCTCACCCTTTACGGCCGTCTCTGAGGGTCCTGCTTTGTGTGTCAAAATCACGACTCAAAATGCCAAATCGACCGAAGTGACACGCAAGGTTCCTGATGAGCGCATATGTGATCTGAAAGTTAACATGGCGAGCAAACTAGCTGACTTGACAGCTTTCGGCAAGGCCTGAGGCAATAGAAGTTCAATGTCTTCGACAAGCTTTTAATAAATAGGCAGAATAAAGGTGAGAAATGGTTCGCTGCTACAACGAGATGGCAACACGCATCGGAAATCTTAAGGCCGAACGAGTGAGACAGAAGCGTCGATTTCGCGGCACATGCCTGGCGTGCCTCGAGAGCATGGGGATTCAGTGGCGTCACTATTTACTCGAAGATTTGATGGTGACAATATATGACTAGAATCTGAGCCAGCTCGAATACGTCGAGCGTCGGATCGAAGAACTTACCGCTGGTGACAAAATCGAATCGGAGCTAGAAAACAACATGGAGGACTTCATGAAGTTCCTTGAAAGGCAACTCTAAGGTCGGGTATTATGTCGAATATGAGTATCCTTCTGGCCGCTTGAAATGAAGGGGCCTTGTCTAAATATGTGACCTGTAAAAGATCGCCATAATGGTCGACTTACAGCTGTCAGACTCTTGTTCACGTTGCGAGAACTATGTGAAATTGGTAAACCTTTTTATGAACAGCACTTAACATGTGATCGGTTAGGTGAAACCACGTATATTCGAAAGGCAGTGGCCGATTACGACAACTTTTTAAGAAAGCTAAACATATTCAGTGATATCTATCAAAGTCAGACCGTTTGTTTGCTATTCTGTTCAGAAGGTTAGAACACAGGTTAAAGCCTTTCGAATTAACCAAAAACCCGTGGATCTTGTGAACCCAAACAAGTGCTACCACCCAAACAAGATATATATACAAGTATGGTCCCTTATGAACAATATCACAAGAACAAGATTAAAACACTCCTCAAGTATGATTTACAGTAACGAATATAAATACTATACTAAAATTTTCAAAATAAACCGATTCTCTATAGTAATTTCTAAATGATTTTCCTAATTGTAAGAAGGTGATGAAGTTAAAACAACAGGCAGCGCTCTCATCCAGCTAAGGAAGAAAAAACTTACTTTTTGCTTAGCTGAATGATATTCCAGTCGAAAGTATGGCGTTTCTTTACACACAGTGTATATTGCATGAAACCCTTGTGATTTTGATAGACATCTGTTAGCTTTATTTATTATTATTATCTAAGTTTTTCTTTATTATACAGCCATTAATAGTTTCTCGTCAATCCTCTTTTTCCTGGCGAAAGCAGAAAATATTGTAACCAAAGGTCCGGGAGACCGGGCGATATGTCCGTAAACATCAATAGGTCTACACCAAACGTCGACTTTCAATAGAAACTACAAAAAAGACCTAGCGCGTTAAATCGTTTCCTCTCTCTACGGCTTATGAATTGAATGAGCCATGACACTCTAAATTCTATATCTGAATAATGTTACCCATTGTTTTGCCCCTAAATATCCTTTATCGTAGAATTGTCATAATACTGACTGCTGCTATCAGAATAAAAACGTAGAGCTGTTTCTAAACCTATATGCTAGGCGACGTTACAGTTTGGACCTAGTTACGTTTAACACCGTTCAAAATGTTAATACTTGGCCGGGCGATCTGTTACAGTATTTGCTTCGAAACTGAGTTATTCAAACAAACTTTTAAAAACTTTGCAATTTGTATCAAGAGGCTTGACAATGTAGTACTTGCGTCTACACCAGACGGGAGTCATACATACTATAAGCAATCGAAAAATATGCTAAGTGGCCATTAATAATAGGCAAATTGGCCAAACCCGCTTTGCCACTAGTGTTTAAAAAGACCATTTATAGGGTAAAACTTATTACTCAATCAAACAAATTTTTAAGACTTTTACAGGGCGCCAAAGTTAATCTATTTAAGCTTCCCAGTGACAAAGTTTAGCCCACCTTTCAAAGTATCCTTTACATATCCTAATCGGATGAGTTGATATACAGTTTCTAATAAAAGTTTCAAGTTTCACGTTCTGTACTGCCTTGGTCTATCATCCCAGCACGAAATAAGGTGTATGTTTGCCGACGCCGGGTTTCGAACCTTATTCACTCACGTGTCCCGAAATTTTAAAGACCACCATATTGCCACTGCATACAACATTTAATTATAACTTAGGTCATCCACGGATTTTTATTCAGCGTTTGTCCTGAGGTCAGCGCCATGCAATGGGAGAATCATGTTATCTACAGAGACAACTATGTTAGGGGCATGATTAAAAATCGGCCAAGAGCTTTTCTGCTACGACTTAGCGAAGCTGAACTCACTCTATGTTTGTTTGTGAGCGCCCCTGGCAATATGTCAAGTGTCCTTGCTGTCCGCTAGCAATTCGGTCAGGACATAGTGCGCTTTCAGCTATTTTTTTGTCGGCGGAAAATATGATGGGTCACTCCAATACTAACAAGATTAACCAACAAGCAAAGTCAAATGTTCACTACCGTTTTCACCCGGTCATATTAAATAAGTATACCAACCTTCTTCCATTACTGCCAGACATCTGTATAATGAATCCTATCAGGTAACAACAAATTCGAGATACCAATATAGCCTTTAAGGCGTTCCGTTCATTCTAAGGGCTTCCACTAAAGTCGAATTTGTTGGCTGGAAGCTACGCTCTAGAACGTTTTTCAGCTAGTGCGTTATTTAGCGGATTACACAATATTTGGGAGAAAGAAATTTTTTTTACGGATTATAGGAGCCCTCGTCACTGTGTCCAATCCAATCGTTTGCAAGATTGCGAAGATAAATAACAGCCGTATGCCCGTTCGTAAACGCAAAATGATATGCAGCGATACCAGCTATACAGACAAACATACAGAGACACAGGAACACGAACTCAAATTAGCAGTATCAAGAAGTATCTCGGACAGCAAAAAAAGGTCAATTTCTCAATGTGCTTTTTGCTTAGTATTACTACACAGGCCCAAAAAGGTGGGACCATGGTCGAGAGGCAGTAACAGCTTTCGGCTAGTATACAAGTCTTCCGGTTCTTGCGAACACCACGCTTGACAAGCTCAAGAACGTAAAATTAGCAATATTCTTCACTCTATCGATCGCCAGCTGTAAAGACGCGTTGCAGCGCGCATCTGGTATGTACCTTAAACAATCGGCCCGGCCTAATATATTTCTATTAGTGACCCAACACTATTTACGTAGTACCACCTCAAGTTCTTCAATTAACTTTACAGTGATAAATGAAGGCGAATAGAAAATGAATCAGTTGGGGAAGACATTGAATAGGAAAACTTGAAGCCCGTACTATTTTAATATATCACGTGGCCTAACAAATTAATAATGTATACTTGGTTATATTTATTGTGTTTGACTGTTATTATTGTTATAAGCGCAAAGGAGCATATTTCACTGATTTAATTTTGTTATAATGTTAATATACGCATTATTTTATATAGTTAAAATAAATTCATATGTATTATATTCAAACATTCAAATGCCAAATATTAATAGAAAATTAAAAACCGGAGTTTCATGGAAGCATATATAATATAACATAAAGTCAGCGTCTACCTATTGTTTTATACATTCATAGTTTTTTTATAGTTTATTATAGTACGAAGTTATTTTGAATAATGTCTAATAAATCCTAGTCACTTTGAATTTTTCTATGCGACGTTTATAGAATAGTAAGGAACATATCTGCGTTAAAAATTCTGGATATTCGTTACGTAGTTTGGTGATTGGGCCTGCAGCGGCCAAAAGGCTGCTGACAGTGGGGATTAGAGAGAGTTTGATTTATTCTTGCTGTAAACATGGCTTTATGCATCGAACAATCAAATTGAAGCTTATGTAACTATACACTAATAAGAATTTCGTATTCATTGAAAATACTTGATTTGCGAGCGGACGTTAAGTATCCAACAAATAAGCCCAGTTACTTCACACACATTTAAATGCTGAGAGATTTTCCCAAACCATAACAGGACGTGTGGGCTTAGGAAAGGATCTACAGAAGTATCTGCTAGGGCAAGCACCTAGCTCGAAGACGAGATGGCATAATAATAAGCGTAATATTTTGGGCGTAAGTTAAGAAAATGATTAACACAATCGAAACGTCACGTCAAAAGAGCTTGCGGGTAAGAAACGACCGTCCCATCAGCACTAATTGTATTTCTTGATACTTAAATTAAGCATTAAACATTCTTAAAGATGACCCACTTACATTACTTAAAGACGACTGAATTATCTATATAGCACGAAGACATTGGCCTGTTGGGAATCTATATGATTCCCAATAGAGTAGCTTTTCCCACAGAATTGGAATAAATCCGCGAAACATGATTAAGATACGCACCGGACGGCCACTAAGGCGCCCATAGAGACCGTGTATCCGCTAGAATCCGGATGCCTACAAAGCCAATTATCATAGATGGCTGCCTAATTAGCAGATGATCAGGTTCGTCGTCTTAATAATACTGCCATTTATAAACCAACTTAAAAATGAGTGATAATGATATGAAAGGGAACTAAAAACCCCATTCCGGCATGAACAAAATATATTAACTTCATTATGATTATTATTAAATTAATGATGTACCTTGATGGAAATTGCTAGACCACAAAAGCGGGGGAATAAATGACAGTTAATTTAGACCCAGTTTCTAGCAGATAAACTTCTTACCATATCAAGAGAACAAAGTTCACTGAGAAAACAAGCTGTTGGTGGCTAGCTAGAAACAATTGAACTAATCTGTCTAAACCGGAATTTCGAATAGATCAAAATAAAATGCTATGTTGTGGGTTTCACTAGGTTACATATACGGCTACTAAAGTCATATGTCAAGTTCTTATAAACTGTTGAATAAAGTCGCTGTTGCCAATCAAAATTTACTAACAATTCGTCAGGGCCTGTAGCAGCAACTCTTTCCGGAACAGGCGCTCACATATGTTTTTAGTTAATCGTGGAGTTAAGGTAAATTGCGTCTCTGCGATAATGAAGTGGTAACGCATTGGTTTACTGAATCTTAGAACACGTGGTGGCCTAGGCTCAAAACTTTGTTTCATGTCGGAAAAGCTAGCAGTCAAACAGAAACCTAGTACAATACATAAAACTCCATTAAGTAATAATATCTTTTTATACATAGTTTCGTCTTGTCTGTTCAGTGCAGGAAAATTGAACCTTTCTGCGATATTAAGAGGCGCTTTGAAATGTTAGGTACATTATCATATTAGGCCAATCAAACCTACCACATAGTTTAATTATCGCCAACTTCAAACGGGAAAGTCGTTTTGTACCGATTCTACTATTACGAAGTACTTTTGTGTTGGACACATCAGGTCGCTTTTACACTGTACTGTTACTTGTACATTGTACTCTACAGGATACGCGTAATGGTAGGATGATAAATGAAAAGCTTTCTTGCCCGGTACCTTTCTGTTTTCTTCTGTCCATTACTTAACAATACTATGCCTTTTCTATAAATGCCTTCATAACTTCATTGCGCACTTAACTGAATTGTACTTTCGGTTCAGGTTCAAAGAATAGGTAATTCTGTTAAAAAAAAACGTACTTTCAGGGCCTAGTTTCATTTGCTTTTTGCCGAAATAGAAAAAATTGGTGAGGCAATCCAGGATATTTGTGCTACAATGTGGGTGCCAGGTTTAAAAACATTACTCATCAGTGTCTTGCTAAATTTAAAGCACGACAGTTTTCGTGGAAAAACCGAAGCTATGCAGGGAAGCCGTATCGTAGAGTTGCACGAGATTCAGCGACCTAGAAGCTCACGGGGCAACCATCGATCGATGCAACCGAACACTGCAGCTAGGTAAAAGCCCTATACCCGTGATAACTTAGTGGGTAACGTTTTTGCCTGCTAACCTTAGGGACACGTTGTAATCTAAGTTCGAAGTTGGGCATAAACTTTGTTTTGCGAGGAGAACCAGCCGTCTGCAACGACGATACAGAATACTCGAAACATCTAGGATATAGAGAATTTGAATATTTAGTTGCGTACATGTACACAAACGAAGTTTATGAGATTGACATCTCTTTAGTGGTTACATGTTTTTAACATAGTGGTAAAAGCCTTAGCTGTAGGCTAGCCTAACATCAGTCTTTGCCTCGTAATTTAACTTTTTTTAGATAAGCCCATTCTCGAGTACGAGTTCAACTTATGCAATTTCTTCTGTTAATCGTAAGTAAAAACACCGTTATATTGTTACACTGGTGGCTTAACACTCTGGCCATTGGGCTAAAATAACTATTTAGTTGTGAAAACCGCAAAAAATTAATATCACGGGTATGTGATCGTAGCTAAAAAAAAAGCCTATAAAACCTCCGTATTATGCAATGGCTATGGGCCAAAGAAGAGGAACCTGGGTCCAAAAGGCTCTTTCAGTTCTTTTCTACGAAAGTAACGATTATTTGCATAAGGCCCATGCATCCTGACACAATGTGTGCTTGAAAATGTAAAACTATCCTTCTTTAATTCATATAAGAAAGAAATCCTTGTTATGCTCTACATCGAACTTGAATAGGATTACGAGTTATAAAATACATCAAAACCAATTCGAATTAGATGTACTCCCCTCCCTCTGCGAAGATGCCCTCTGATTCGCGCTATGCCAGGTGTTCATGACTTAAACTATCGTATGCTTCCCAGTTTTGAAACAATACATTTTGCTTGAAAAGTTTTTAGTTAACAAATTGCTAATTAAAGTGTTTGGCGTTTACCTGTAGGCAAAGCTATGTCTGTGCTTACCGTCTCAAAATAACAGTTATAATTTCTTTTTTTTTTCACGTTTTGTCTTTACCTTTCATGCCTTTCATCGTACCTTTATTGAACTCTTCTACCGGTTAAAACGCTACCTTAATAAAATACTAACATATGCATAAACAATAAAATAAGACGTAACCCAGCTTATAAATTGGTGCCTCACTACAGGGTACACCGCATATAGATCTAGCTAGCTAAGACGTCTCACCATTCTTAAAAGCCGTATTTTACAAGAGACCAGTACATTTTACAAGTAACCGGGGACTGTTCAGTGATTCAATCGATTACTAAAAGCAAGTTATCTCTCTTAAATGGAAAACTAATCAGAAACCAAGAAATTAGCACCATGCTTATTTAAATTAAAAAAAAAAGTAGACTGACAAAGCGAAGTGCCACAATAGCCGATATGACGGTAGAGAAACGGACATTTAATCTCCCTTAGAAAACATTATGAGGATATTTCGTGCGAAATATACAGATAATTCACGAACAACAGAAAACTGATGCGAAAATGAAGCGCTCCCTATAAATTAACTTCACGAAGTTTAACTCTCGTAACGATCAGGAAACACTTCCAAAAATAGCAAGCAAAAGAGGACGGGAGCGAGAATGTACTCTGTTTTGTGAAGCCACAAACATTTTGCGTTCACCTGTTGGTGAGCATAAAGGACTGCTTGTAGAAAAAAGTAATTGAATGGACGGATGTCTCCTGTTGTTATTAATAGAGGTAAAAGTGTTTTTATTTAGGCAATAAGACATCTAGTACGAACGATGCGTACAGAACTAGACACTAAAATCTAAGGATGCACAGGATGTTTTGGATTTAGAGTGTTATTTATTATGCCCGCCATGTTATATAAAGCGTGCCATTTTTCGGTGAAGCTCTTGGGTGGCAAAGCACATGAAAAATGAAAAGTAACGTAACTTAGCAAGACGAGTCGGGTAGAAAAGATATAAACTAATTTATTGTAAATAGTACAATGTATATATATATTAGTTACAGGTATTTACATTCACCTTATTACACGGTGGACACGCTAAGTGCAACGCTTAATTCTATCGGTCCGCATTAGCGTAATAGATACAATCGCCATTTTTTAGCTTTCTAGAGGTTTGGTGACAGAAAAACCTACCGGTACGTTTTAAGATTTTTTTGGCGTATCAGAAGAGGGCTCAACACAGGTCATTTCTTTCTATCAGTACACTCCCCGGCATCATTTCTTTCAACAAGGTTCGCAGGCATCCTGCTTTACCTACAGAACTACTGCTCTTTCAGGAACGGTAACTCGTTTACCAAAGATCTAGAAGATAATTAAAGTTTCACATTGGGTTGCTTTGATAGTGAAGAAAGTCGTATTACCGTGATCTGTAGGGATGGAGATTTTAGAAGCATAAAACAGCAACTGCATGATTTTTGTCAGCGTTCATCCAAGAGTTGTCGATTTTAGCATGAACTCGCTGTAACGAGATTTTAGATTTATAATTGTGTACCGTGTGACACAAGTGTGCTTCGTTCATTGCACTATTAAAAGCAAACCGTTATAACCGATACGGAAACAATTGTCCCAGAGAATAAACAGAGGGAGCACTATACAGAACGGCCTTTGCAGAACTTTTTTAGGTACTAAGAAGTTCTCGATAACACTAAATAACAAACCGCAGAATGGGGATTTGTTCCATCGTCAACATTGAAATTGCGGTCTCTACCTATCGTAATGAACAGCTATATATTTTGTCACCACCTGTTTAATCTCTTTCTACACGGCACCTGTGCTCTGAACGCGCTATGCTAAATGCATAGAGACATGGTAGGTTTATGTAAACAGAGCCCGTAAGATGTTAGCAATTACTTAAAGTGGAAACGTAACTACGTCACATTATGTGAAATATCTGCAACAACAGCATGCGTCGCCTGACTGTTATCTGGCCAAAGGTATACATATTATATTCGGTTTGAATAGATGAAATGTATAGATACGATCAAGCGAGATAACACTTGCGGAATTAGTCGATGTAGTAGTACCGTGCTACTGTTTTGCATAGGCCTCTACCTCTAGACTTGCGTCAATACAGCTGTCTTGATATATTATTATATAAAACGCTGCAGTTCCAATAACTGCATACATTTATTTTCCCTTGAAGGGTCACAGAGAGTATTTTGATTTGCTTCCGGTTGTTGACTCTCTGAGCCCTTAGCGTAGATTAGAGAATGGAACCTGCACGGTTGTCAAAGAGCAAATTATTTTCCGGCGGTCAGTAGCTAAATCGATAGAGATCCTATATCTGATTATAGTTTCTATAGATAGATATCATAAGATCAAGTTGCCCCTGGAGGTCCTACGCGGCCAGTGCTTCCTAAATCAGCTCGTCCAGTTCCATGTTCGAAGCTAACCGAGTCGGCATTAGTAGAAGAACCTGTCCAATCGCGCACGTGAGGTAAATGTTATCAGAATTAAATAAGACAACTTACCGTAACGACAATTGAGTCTGAATACACATTTCACAAAATAGTTTATGCACGATATGCATAGAAGGTGCAATATCGTGCAGCATTAAAGGGACGCCTAAAGGAACGATTTCGAGCAGTCCAGCTGGCTCTTTACCTACCTGTCATGCGAATTACAAGGCGAGCCACAAATGACAAATATTCTTCCTGGAAGTATACGCAATCGACACACAAAATTGGTTGCTTAATACAGGATAGAATACACACTAATCACCGCCAGCTGCCTGCCATACCTCTTTCATAATACGGTTGCACGAGAGAGGATCAATAAAGTCCTTCGGTCTTTATATGGCGTACGTTTTTGTAATCACAAATAAATTCTTACAGTTTCGATATAAACGTGCTCAGTAAAACAGTGGAAAACAACAAATACAAAGCAGTAAAGAAAAATCCTACTTATAGCTCCAAAACAACTGGGCATGATTTTAAGCCAAACATAATTCTCTCATATCATGTCAGAGATGTTTCTCGTTGGTTTTCATTCCTACCTTTGACTTTGCCCGGCTTATCAGCGTATTTTCCATATCAGCCGCTGTTCGTCGATGCTGATTTGGTGAGTTCCTAATTGCTTCGTCTCTGCAAATAGCGAGAGCAGAGAAGCACCATTAAACATAGAACTCACTTTTTTTTTTCGAAATTCTGCCGAAGCTATTGTTAAAAAACCTGATTTGGCTCAAGCTAGCCAGATCACTAATCGGGAACCGCAGAAATGTTCCCTGCAAAGATGGATGTCTTCGAAGCGCATGGAAGTTCAAATACATTTTGACAGGCCGTTCGGCAATGCGGACTAAAGTTATTTACGTTGTTATTTCGTAAAAATAATAATAATAACAAGATATAATGACAAGGTGCAAAAATCAATTACATTTTCGAGCAAATTAACCGCCTGAAGTTCGGAGTCTTCCAACGATCACCATTCGTCGACGAGCTTATTTGTTCCAATTCACGTAATATGAGGTCGCTGATCTCATCCGTATCGCCCCCTAAAATAGGCATTGAAGAACCATCTAACTATAGGGAGACATATGACTGAGAAATGAAGCTCTTGTCTTCAGATTTGTTTTGCATTTTACCTGAACGTTATATCACTTTTTACGTTCGCTTTGTATTACTATTTGTCATAGACGACTTTACATAATGAAAAGCACAATTTTCGTGTCTGGCTAATTTCTTCCGATATATACAGCCAACTGTAGTCTCTCAATACTCTTGAAAACAATAGTCTCTCAAGACTACCCTAATCACGAAATTTGTCACTTACGAATATGCTTTGTTATCCTAGACACATACGACAGATACTGCTCCTGTAAGCAGAACGGAACGAATGATCAGGCAGTTAAAAGATAAAGAGTGGTAGCATATAAACTATGCTAGAGTTAAGATTTATGATTAAAAGCCATTTTAGAGATACTTAGTCAACATATAACGAACTATTTAGTGAGAAAATGTATGTCTTGGTTATAATAAATTCGTTCGATATTGGGTCCCTTCATGTCGTGTGCTTAACAGTCCATACCCTCGTCGACGATCGCATGAATGCTTGATTCTCCATTTCAACAGCATTCTCGTATGACTGGCTGGGAGAATTTCTTATGGCCCACTCTCTGGAACAGCAGTTAGTCATAGCGCTAAATTTAATAAGAGCTGATCGTAAAGAGCCAGCAAAATTTACGAGGTCAGAATAATATAAGTCGAGCGCAAAAGGTTTATCTGTTAGTTTTCGCGGAGTTGTGAGTCCAGTCAGCAGGATGGCAATCCGCTAAGTTACCACGGCTTCAGCTCCAAGTGCAATAATTATACTATAAGCATCCTTAGCACTTTTTGCTTTTATTATTTGTGCCCAAATTTTAATTAGTTTCTAGTTATTTTATTCGATAATGACGAATACTGTAAGCGCCTTAGCAGCTCGAAGCTATGATAACTATGTTATAATTAAGTTACGGACTGGCCTCGAGTCGTTACAAGAGTACACTTTATTGCGACCTAGTTAGGATTTCTGAACTCTCATTGAGAAACGGAAACGAATCAACGCTTTGTACGATTTACTTAAACTTTTAAAAGCTTCTTTTGCATTTGCAATATCGCTTACATTTTTGCGCGGACATTTTCTCGAAGAGCAGGTGTTTTCCATAAATTTTCATTTGTTGGAGCACTCCTTCTTTCCGAATCACCTCCTGTTGCATAAATTCGAAAAACAAGAACGTTAACGTCGTAATGTAAGTGCTCACAAAATATCAGTACACACCGATACATTTTTTTGATTAATGAAGACCCGTGCATTAATTGCTTTACCGGATTGCCTTATGTTCTAGCTATAATACTATGCAATAGTCAAGACCCTTCCGAAGCATGGCGAACATCCTTCTATCGTAATAACAAGGGTGGAGTGGTAACCTTCATACTACTTACTAATATAATCCATGAGATAGGCCACCATTGACAAGTACTGATCCTGTAAGCAATGACAAACGATAAAAAGTGAAGATGTATGTAATAATAATATGTGATTTATGCCACTAGTTGGTTAATGCCTTGCAAAGTTATATGTTTATTCGACAAATTAAACGAAGCTCATAAAACGTTCTATGAAGTGACGTTCAACTAAAATATGTTTAAACGCTACTTAATTTTAATACCATAATATTGAGAAACTACATTTGACGGACCGTTCAATAGAACATTTCGAAACTTCTATATACCTTTGTTGTGGCGGTACTGAAGGCGTGATCTTCCATTTCGGCCGCGTCGTTGCATTGAGTGTTGGGCGATGCCCTAATTGTCTCTTCACTACAATAACCATAAAGATTTAAATCACAGTTTTTGTTGTTTATTCTATTCAAAGATATCTTTTTATGGTAGCGCTCACCGTGTTAAAATTCTTGAGAAAACTGATGAAAAAGATTTTCCTTATACAAATTATAGAGTAAACCTAGCATAACAGTCAGTTTTTTATTTTTTATTTAGTAAGTCTGTCGTGTTAAAAGCTACAAAGGAAATTGAAAACAATAGATGAAATAAGAATACACCTGCAACTTTAGTTCATGTAGAATCTTAGAATAGAAGGTAAATTACTTACATTTTTGAGTGGATGCTTTGCCGGAAAGCCGGTGTTCTCCACAAGCTGGGGTCGTCGTCTTCGGCACTCATGCTCGTTTATATCGTTTTCAGCTAAAAACAAGCTCCTCTGAACAGTCCTCCTGAGCGGATAAGCTTTGGCTTGTAATGCCTGTAGAAGTACCATAGAGGTAAGTAATCACATCTGCCGCGACCAGGCATATGCGCTTGGAGGTCTCCTGTAGTTTATACATGCCAGTGTGTGTGTATATTTTAGCGAAATAAGAGTTAACAGGCTTGTTTAAGCGCTTTGAAACCTGAAAAAAACAATATTCGACCAAACTGCGCCTATAATCGATGAAAAGAAGCGATGTTCGCCAAATGTACACACAAAATAAATGTGCCTTAAGAACTAATTAACAGATAAACCTATAAGTGTACAACAATTATAAGAACTACAGTTCTACACGACCCACTCAGTAGACTTTTAGTGATTTAGCATAGGCCCATACTTTATTCAATTAGTAAAGTAAAACAGTAAAATATGACCAACAAAGAGACAAGAACGGTTTCGATGTTAACTAGTTATTACAAAAAAAGAACGTTTAGATCTAAATACGTATGATTAGAAACGTTAGAAACCTTTCTTTACGTTTTAGAAATTGGGAATGCAAAGCTACTTAAAAATCTTAGAAATTCAGTTACTTCTGTTTCAACTAAAGTAGCCTGTTACACGCGCAGAGATAAATACAGACTTATACACCCACGTAAAAGATAACTTCAAACAGAGTTAAATAAAACATGATTTACGTACACCAACAGATTGTCGAAAGCCGAACAAATTTTGGCGCAATCAAAAAGGCAACGTTTTTCCCACAGCGCACATTTCACTTTATCGATCCACTGACACTGAGCATTCACTGTGCCCCCGAGTTGAGAGATGTTTTAGCACAGTGACCGATGAGATGATGGAGCTATCTGACTTACTCTGGACCGGAGTTGATCGGACGGGCCCCAACATCAACAAGCGAATGGATGCATTCATGTGGCTTTTTTCTATGCCAGCAAACAGTATTCTACCCATGTGCGGGCGACTCGGAGCTTCCGACAGAGCTGTGGGGCTGAGTCGGCTGAAGTTAGACTCCTACTCATCCTCCATATCATCATGCGTCAATGTGTCAGTAAATGGAAGTATTTAAATCTCTTAAAGAAACTTTATTTGCTGTGAAAATTATTTAATGATGTCTACGATCAGACCGAATTTGATAATAGAATAATTATGGCAAAAAAGGAAATTTGTTTTGAAAATTAATGAAAAAAATGTTGCGAGAGCGGGCAGTAACTACTTTTGATTTTTGCTTTAATTTGTAGGTGCTCTGGAGGATAGTAATTGCTTTTGTCAGCTATCTAACATGACTATTAGTTCTCTTATTCATACAGTGATTTAAGAATTAAATTGTTCATTTTTGATAAATATGACAGTTGAGGAGTCGGACAAAAAAGTCAACTTTATTGAACATAACCATCATTTAGAAAAGGTAATATTTACCGATATACTCAGGCAAAACGACCTCCATGATGAGCCTCTTCCAACACCATGCCCCATACTGCGTCTATAACTCTGCACGACACGACGAAGACAAGTTATGTGCTCTGTAATCTATCACTCCTCAACTTACGGAACGCACTGGTTTACTAGGTCCGGTATAACTGATTTGGCTTGTTCATAAAAATATGATACTATTGGCGTCATAACAAAAGTAATACTGTTGACCCCTCATATGCACGTTTGTCTCCTTGGATAAAGGTTCAATTGAATCGGCGAACAGAGTCGGAAACGTTCAGATGCCGTACAGTTCATCGCTGTTCACGCAGTTCTGCTTATAGAACCAGCATCCCATGGAAAAGGCTGTTAGAAATGATTGAGTGTACAATGTTAGATGAGAAATACATATCGTAGCTTTGTGCATCGTCGTTAAACCCTTCGGGGTCATTAGATGTCTTTTTCAAAACAAAGTTTCCATCACTGAAAACACTCAAAGCAAACATCACTGATAGACAGATATAGCTCGTTTTGTTTTTGGCGCTTTTGGTTTACCTGAAAAATGACAATAGCTAATATAGTCGACTAATTTTATCATCTTTACCGTTTGATCGAATTTTAAATTTGAGCCCCCCAATTAACCATCAACAACTATAGCCCACTGGCAATCTAATTAAATAGATTAATGAATACAAAACCTTTTTTTAAGCATATATTAACTCGTGTTAAGGTTCATTTTGGTATCGTCTGTAGTTTATTGTCAGCCGCCTCTTGAGCTCATTTTAACTCTCAGTATATTTTAGTTAGATTGGTATTTTTATAAAGATAACCACTCTTGATGTGTTGCCTGTTCGCTAGAAGCAGCAGCGAATGCGAGGGCACCGCTTTACGCCGATTCTGTCCCATTCCTGCTCTAACATAGTCGTTCTGCACAGCTTAAGAATATCGACTTCTGTCCCCGCATCTGAAAATCACGAAGTGAGGAACTGAAGTGTCGCAATCGAGAGAGAGAAAAAAAGAGTGTTTCTTAATCACTATTATGCTGCTATTAGTGTTTTTGCGCGAAGTGCGTAACTTAAGCTATGTACGCTGTGCTAGCTTGTACTTAGGTGCGATTTCTATATTACCATTAAAAATCCATATACGCTCACTATATATATTGTTTGCTTAATTTTATGGAAAACGATCTTCGGGCCATCGTGCAGCTGGACTCGGTGGCGTCGTTGTTTCGGCTCGAAGCCTGAACATATTACGGACCGTACCAGCAGTCGACCTAGAAATAGTAGATTCAACGCCTACGATCAGGGAGCGAATGTAGCTTCTGCACTGACGCGCCCACTACGCATAACTCCGATGTGGACGGTACGATTTATGCTGTTCTACACTCGCGGTTGGAACATCGTTTTCATGGCACACTTGCGACAGTAACCTAATGAATGCCGAGAGCCAGGAGTTCGTGGCGGTCTATCACTCCAAATCTGCTCAGAAGGCACAAACGCTAATTTGTGGTAATTTTACTCTCACGTTGTGAGATGATAGAATGTATATGTTGGCCGATGCCAATGGCGGCTGGATTCGCTCAACAAAATGAGCTACGCGACAAAGGCTGAAAAAGATTTTCGTCAGCGTGCCGGAACGAGAAAGGACGACGCGTTATTCTAGCTTTGTGGTTACCTTAATTGAACTGGGTGATGGCGATCAACGCTACTATAGACGAAACAATTAAGGTAAACTAAAACTAATAATCACAGATATATACACAAGAGTGCCTCTGACCGAAAAAAGCCAGTGACTGCTGCTTCGAGTCCCGCCGACGACACGAACTACACAATCTGCATGAATAAAAAAGAGTTATTTTTTACGATTTTTCGTGCCTGTCTCTACGTAAAAACGCCTGTACAATGGTTTTGGGCGCATAGCTATTATTAAGGAGCACCATGAGAAATGAAAAAGATATCAATTATACATAACTTTACAGGTCAGAAACGTTCATAGTGGTTGTGTTAGGTGCTATTAGTATTATATGATCCCACAAACAGCTTTCAAGCTCTGAGGATAAACGTTGTCCTGTTTCAACTACTGGATAGGGTTTCATTGGTTTCAACGGTATATATACATATTTTGTACACGAGTAAAAGTCATGTCGAAGTCATGTTGTGAACTCGGCAACAATTCGAATGTGGGACTCGTCACTGTTTTGAATACCCTCCAAATTTTTAATACTGAATACGAAATTAACTGCTCGATGGATTAGCTTTAGGCAGTATGTCTCCTAGACTCATTGTTGCCGATCGGGAACGCCTATGAAAAAGGCCACTTCACTTTACCAGACAGCTTCCTTTCAATGTCCAGCCATCGTCTAAGAACCTCATTTCGCAACGCATTTGATTGTACCATATCACATCACTTCTTATGTAACTCATAGGTCGCTTTGTAGTAATGTGAACATTATTCCTCTCGTCGTGCCGAGTGTAAGTCGCACGATACCGATACTTTTTTTTCATGCAAAATAAGTCATTTCCTGCAAGTTCACTATATTCAAGAGGAGATCGCTTGCTGCTGTCTCGTAACTTGGTTTGTACTGCTGTTGCTGCTGCTGTTTCCACTGCTGCAGATCTGTCGAACGCACATTTCCCACGTGTCGAGTAGTGACGTGATTGAGTACTGCGATGGCATCTTATTCAGGTGCAAACTAAGAGAATCCAATATATCGGACAGGAATGATGTGCTTGCGTATTGAGCCCGGTTGGCATTGCAGCGCGGTGGATGATCTGGATAATTTTCGGGGACGGCAACGGAGATCGGGGGGACACATGGTAGCGTCTTGTCGTCTGTATTACAGCCAAACAGCATAAGTCGCCGGAACCAGAGAAAATAAATTAGTGTGAATTGCGCTGATACAGACAAGTCTCGACTGGGGAGGATATCAGCGATTCAAGTGCACGTTATATCTAAGGAGGGTCGAGAAAAGGGCTTGCCACAAACCACTGAAGATTAATTGGCACACTATAATCATAGTAATAAAATTGGCGAAACTGGAGACAAAGCTTTCTTTTTAGTCACATCATTCAACAAGCATTTACAAGCCCCGCGCAATTTCGGTGTAAACGAATATTCTATGATATATGTTTGCGTAATTTTCGATACCAATTCTACTAGCTTACCTAGTTGACAAATGAGATTTACAGTGCGACACCCGCTATGCTGAACCGGATCAAGCTGCACCTTAAATCTCTGATCTAAATGGGCGATTTCGCCCTGAAGCACATCCGGAATCTCGACCATGTCGTCACGACGTCGCTTCACCGGCGGAGACGATGGTGGCGAAGGGGCTGAACGTAAATATGCTGCTCCGGTCAGCATCGTAATTGGTGGGCCGAAAACCCGCTGTAAAGTATGATTGAACATAGGACTCTTGATGTTCGCGTTGATCGCGTCTAGTAATGGCTGCCAAAGATTATCGTTTTGTAGCCGAGCCATCGAGGTTACCGATGGCACATGGCCGATGTGATCTCGAGGTACTGACGGACCCAGGTCGAGCTTTTCGAGGACGCCTTCGCACTTCAGAAGAACCTCCATTGGGCATCGGCGACTGCTGTCCGACAGGATGTCTAGCAGTGATCTCATCCGTATTAAATCCTTCTGGCGATCTTCGTCCTTATCGATGCGCGCAATCATTCGGCGTAAGGGCTCGATGTACTTACTCAGTTGTTTGAGTTTATCGAGATAGACCTGTTCCTCGGCGGCGCTGCGACCGGGGACACCTCCTGCAGATCCAACCAGACCATGGCTTCCAGGACCATGTTGTTGCTGCGATTGCTGCTGTTGTTGCTGTTGTGGATGCTGTTGAGAATGCGAGCCGGCAGGCGAAGCCACCGAGCCAATAGGGGCATTAAGAGCGGATCCTGGTGAAGGAGCACCGACCTGCCCCGCTCGGAGGTAGCCACCCTGGCTTCCGACCCCAACCGGCGACGGCGAATGCGCATAAGCAGCTGGTGATGATCCTGTCATTTGGCTGTAATACAAAGTACCAAAGAGTTAATAACGCGATAGAAACACAACAATAACTGTTAGCGTAATGGTTAAGCTTCAGTGAAGTATGTGTCGACATGTGCACTTCGAAAAAAAATTGTTGAAACAACACACATTAGCCGATACAATAGATGATAAATGATCACTTTTTAATTATCTGTTAATATAAGACTATATGTAGAGATACATGACACTGTTTCTGTCTTCTAAGATGTATCAGAATCTACAGAGAGCAATTACACCCGTTCAATTGTCAGAACTATATAGTATAGCTAGATAATAGCTGGGCAGTTGTAGAACTTACTTGGATAGCGAGCCGCCCATGGGAGACTGTACTGGACCCTGACCTGTGACCTGTCAACAGTACACGAAAACAATTTTTTTAGTATGTTATATTGATAACAAAATTAGATTACTGGAGTCAGGCGTTTGTAACCATTAAGCACAGCCTATGACTAGAGATTGAATACTGTTCCTGAAATTGACAAGTGGTTTTACAAGGATTCAGGAATTATTCAGGAACGCATACTCCTTTCATAACAGTAGCTACTTTGATCGCGTGAGCAATTTCTTGAAATCATCTCTTCGATATAGCATCGAGGACCTACCTTATTTAGAAGGTCCAGACAGGGTAGACCTTGCTGGACTTATCTGGCACTTCTCCAACAAACCCGTGATACAGCATGGTAAACATATGCCATGGTCACCATTTGCCAACGCAGAAATTCTAACCAACGGTGGTCGCATGTTTATCGTTACCATGGCAATGCATTAGAAGAAACTGGTATTAACTGCTCTTAATGCTTAGACGCTTAAGACCAATCTCTTGATAGCGTTTGTGGATCCGAAATAAGGCTAGGACGCGATATTCAATCATGGTGCACCACTGTCAACATAACAAACCTACCTACCATTAGCCAAAACGCTTTGGGGTATATCCCAGATTAAAAAGCATCCCTTTTAATAATCCCCCCAATAACACGATATTCTGTGTAAATATTTACGTTTAGATGATGTAGAAGGTGAAACATAAAAAGAGCATTATGTGGCACAGATAAATTCCTAAACAAAAAAGAAATTAACCATTGAGGTGTCGCAGTTCTTGTCAGGTTACGTTTGCGAACTGCATTTTAACAATTCGTTGATTTTAATGGCGCATGATTTATTCTAAATACTTACCATGGTATTCTGTGGTTGTTGAGGGGCTATTTGTGGTCTCTGCATCTTGGCTTGCGGGGCCCCACCCATAACGACCATGCCCTGGCTTGTGGTGCCAATACCAGGTCCAACAATATTTGCGGGTTGTGACGAACGTACGTTACTTCCCATTTGCTGATTCATCATCATTGGATTTATGGATCCGCCACCTTGACTGATCATCATGGGACGTGGCGTCTGCATTGCCATTGGGTTAAGTCCGCTGGAACTATTTGGTTGTTGGGGATTGTTTGGTTGTTGAGGTTGCGCCTGCATCATTTCAGACGGACCTCCCAATTGGCCACTTCTCATTTGTCCTGGACCCATGGGAACGCCGCCCATAGAGCCACCAGTCATGGGACCCCCTCCCATAGGGCCTCCAAGACCCATTTGTCCTCCAGTCATCGGGCCCCCAGGACCCATAGGACCTCCAGGACCAATAACACCCCCAGGAGCCATAACACTCCCACCTCCCATAGAACCTCCGCCCATTGGAAGGGGAGCCTGTTGTTGCTGCTGCTGGCTTGTCATTGTCTGGAGCGCCATCATGGGATCGGGTCCGCCTTGGGGCCCCCCATGACCGACACCCTCTTGACTTCCAGGGCCCGGCCCTTGATTTGCTCCTGGATTGATAGAACCAGGATTCTTTTTTGAATCTGTAATTGATCAAATTCAGCTAGAATCAGTGCATTTAAAAAACCTAAATAGGAAATACAAATAATCATAACAAAGACCATAAACGAATTGGAAAATATTTTAGGAATGCATATAAATGAAAATGTAAAATCTAATACTAGCTACCACTCCATGATTCAGTAACCGACGAGGTATTGAAGAATGGGTTGCAAAATGTCCCACTGAACTAATTGAAATTTCTTTACATTAAAGTCGTCCAGCCATCGCTCCAAATTATTGTTATGTTCCCGACTTTAAGAGCTTAGATTTATTTACTATAGATTATGCGTGAAGATAATCCCAATAATGATTTTCGAAGTTATTCGAAACGATTAAGCATGTTTCCCATTAAGAGCTATGCCGTGTACCGGAATATTGATCAGTCAACAGCCGTTAGCTTCTATGACCAAAGACTGGAACAATGTACGAACGCGGCTTTAGATTGAATCGCAATTTAAGAATATGCGAAAGGAGGTGAATATCGGTATTCGTCCTATATCTAGAGGTAAATCTAGATTCAGAAACAGGGAAATTCACATCGACTTAGAGCTATTTAGCGCGACTATTCCTAGAAAGCTTTATGATGGCTATATTCACCTTACCTACAGCTAATTAACTGACTTTTAAATCACGACATAGGCTTGAAATCGCCACTCAACATCGGCTAATTAGTTACGACAATGGAGCGTGAGATATATCGATTCGTTTTGTTCTTGCTAGAATTGAAGGCGATGTCCTTTAGCCTCTTATATTTTTAGAAGAGATTTAGAATTCTGTATTGAACGATCGGAAAACCTTCCTCCTAATCGACATAAAAAGATTCGAGATATCAGTTCATTGCCTTTTGGTTATTTTAAGTTTTTCAAATGCCTGCTGCTGGGCCTCGGTTGATCGTCCGTAGTGAAATGCCAGTGTTCAGCAGGGAAGAGTCGCCAGATATTTCGCCATTGCCAAGACTGAAGTGTTTATTGTTCAACCTTCGAAACCAGCTCTGGCATGTTCGGAGATAAAGTCCCTCTCAAAACTTCTGGAAATCTTGCTGAAAGCTTTACAAGCACTGCTGTTTTTGAGCATCTTGTAGAATAAAATACTTCAAATTAAGCGATTTTTCCAGACATTTTTAGTAGTTTCACAAGAAAATAATTAAACTGGCTTTCTATTTCATAGTCCTTAATACTCCAGTTTTATTCCGATCGGATCCTATGGACCTTTTTGAGCCTTGTGTTCGATTAATGGTGTACCGGCAATAATCAGATCTAGCACATTGCTATTGTACCTACATAGCCTATAATCAATCAAAAAAAAAGAAGAACCAAATAATTTGTACCAAGCAAGGATAAGTTCACGAAAAACGAAGTTTCGTCATTAAAGCGAACGATATCAGCCATCTGTGGTTGCGCATTCCACATACACTAACTAAAAGGCAAATCATCACTTATGATTGATCTGCTTGTACCTTAATATGTTTTTTTTTGTCAATAACACTCACTGAGATGGAGCGTCATCGATTACAACCTAGGTCTACAAATATGTCCCATTGGAAAAACGACGAACTAGGACCAAAATTTTGTATTACACATTCGTGTTTGATGGTGGCTATTGACCCTTTCGATATTACGATACATGTCAACGATCTAGAAATCGTCGCTGCTGATGACGCGTAAGTAAAGCAGTTTAGTTTCGTCCTACCGAAAAGGAGAACTGTCGTTCGAAGTAATTGGAGACGTTCTGTTCCTCGGCTCGCTTCGTCTGCAGTATAGAGCTAAGAAGCCTTGCTCACGCCGTTATCCAATGACGTGTAGATTCAATTAAGACTACTTGAATTTTTAATTCACTTAAAAACTAATTAATACGCTTGAAAAAACTATTCTTTTAATTCGGAAGTAAGATTAAAAAAAAAACACTATAATTCCTACTCAGTAACTGCGGACTGGGCTCGAAATTACCTGATTTTTAATGACTGGATGATTTGTAAAAAAAAATCAATCTTGTTATTGCTAAATGCGTTGTCATAAATTAGTCGAAACGATTGAGATGAACATCGTTACTTATTGAGAATGTATATATTATATGTGATTGCCAAAATAAAGTTCTGTAGAGCGAGGCACACTGTTACACCTAGTAATCTCGTGAAGGTTCTGTATTTTCGTCACTATCACGGGATTGCCGTTAGACAGATGGTGGTGGCAATAGCAGTCAGGAGTGGTGACCGGCGCACGGCGCGTTTGTTGGAATAACTGTCTAATCTCGACAATCGTTATGATGGCATTGACTATAAACTGGTGCCTGGCATATGTGATTGGCCCTACGGAGAATACGCTAACGACAGCGATAGACTACGGGGGCAACGACAACAATTACTCGGTAAATTACTCGGTGCTAAAATACTATACAGCCATACAATAGGTGTCGAATCGAACACTAACAGCGTCTTGAAATCGGATAGAGCAGCGTCAAAAATAGGTCAGCACGGTCGCGTCCCTCGAAAATACTTTTAATGGTGATTGATTCTGGGCCTGAACCGCTGGTTAGTGTAGGTACACAAGTTCGTACATGGTAATATGGGGTTTTTATTGATTTCATATCAGTAAGTCGACTAGTGAGTATTTTCCTGTTGTTCTGCACGTTGACGACAAAGCATGAGTAGCCATTGTAGTATACTATATATAAAGGATACGCGTATACTCCTTTGCGGTTCGTCATAATGAAATGTGTTTATTAGTTCTGATCAGCTATCGTTTTGGCCGCTTCGATCTGCTACGTTAAACCCAACTCTCGATAAGGAACCGTACTGGACATCATCGAAAATTGTGTCAACACGCATTGATTTCCATAGCGATCACTGTAACGGTCAATCGAGATACTCCATGCGAAACTAACTAAAGTCGAACAGAGATCGTACGATAGTGATGCCTGCATACGCATAGCTACAAATCTGCTTTTTAATTATTAAGATTCCAGCAAACAACTAAATTTCGCACCGTTCGGATACACACGACACGGTCAGGGCAGATAAGTCCTAACAGTTATATAGTAATATCATCAAAATGCAAAATCTAGAGAGTAGGAAGTCACAATATTAGAGCAAATTTACTCACAGTCGATTATCCATCCTAAGCAGAAACGCTACGGTTCGAATAAATGGCAGATATGGGGAGAGCACCTATAAACAGCTATATATAAAGTGAACCAGCTTGACTTGGGCACCATTAAACAAGCACCATTTGACCATAGAAGAAGAATTACGCACGGCACACTTTGTCAGCAAACGTCGACACACCACAAACCCAGTGTCAGTGGAAGATTACGCCATATCCCAGAAAAAAAAAGACTCACCGTATACTCTCCAACGTGTTTAGCCAATGTTTCAACCATGGCATCTGTATTGTTTACACGATGACAGCAAGAGCTGATACATCCACAGGCTGAATTCCATTCTGTCATCAATGGCTGACAATTAGCGTAATTGCATCGACAATATTCGATCTACACGATACAGCTTAATTTTTGAAAATGCCGCGCAACAAGCGTCCAGCCTAAGCATAGCCATGCAACTACGTCACAGCGAGATGGCAGGCTGGACAGCTATGTGCAGAAGCTCTTATCCAGATCGCAACAGTAGTTGACCCGATTGCTCAAATCTCAGCTCAAGCAATGTTCTTCTAATCTTTGCTCCATATCGAACTAACCGGAAATAAATGACACTTAACGGAGTATTCAGCACGGCGCGCTGCCATGCTTGGTATACTCAAACGGACCAGTTTATCTTTAACTCTATACTTAACGTGCTAGTTAGAGGAATTAAAACAGGATCTATAGTGTTTGCCGGTGACACTATATTCCTATTCGTCATCGATCGGAATATAATGATCAACGAAATGTATTGTAGAGCGTGTAGGTAAAGGCAATCAAAGCAAATCAATCGCGCACCTAATTTTCATTTTGGTACATCGATTTGACTGCCCTGATGTTACTCTAGATCCTCCTTTATTACATGAAAAGCTCATTGGACTTGAAACAATAGTACCATCTCTATAATAGTCAGAAAATCATGAACATTCCAACAAACCGCGTCCTTAATTGTGTGTTACATCGCATCACCTATCTCACGATCCGCCCATCATTCGATGCACATATGTATTCTAAAACAATTTGTACTCATTTGTTTGCACCGTGCTATTTCCCGCGTGACCTTGTTATCGGGTGGCATTGTTTTGTGTTAGTAGCGAAGTTGGCTCTTATTATGGGGCCTTATTGTAAACAGATATGTGAAATATACCATATAAATAGCATAACAAAGATTTATAGTTATTTAAAACTATTGGAATGCTGCGATATTCGAGTCCTTCAATCATTATAGAAACGCTGTCTATATATATATATATATATATATATATATATATATATACATTGTTCCCTTGAGTGTGCTTCATGATGTTAAATGAAAACAGATAATAACCGTGGACGACCAATTGATGTTTTTGTCATTTCAATGGATGTATAAACGAATTTTCACCACTTACAGATACACAACAGTGATATTAACGGTTAGAATAGCAATGGCCGTCGGAAAAATAACTCTATCTTTTGCACACATCAAATGAGCAGATCCTACGGACTAGCACATACACGTTAGGAGACTTAGCAGCGTCGGCTCCCCGTATTGCCCCCCTTGATTCGGTTGTTGCTGCTGCTGCTGGCTTACGCTAGCGGAAACATTCGGGTGTCCACCTGATCCACGAACGCCTCCCCCACTTCCCAACTGTTGGGACACTGGCAACGTCGATATTTGGCCCCTAGTTGTTAGCGTTATTTGCTGTTGCTGTGAATTTTGCTGTTGTTGATATGAATGCAATTGCTGTACAGGGGGCCGAAATGTTCCCTGAGTTCCCTGCACCTGTGTTCCGCGGCCACTAGAAGTGCTCCCAAATGATCCGTTCAAATGGACGGTCGCGTTGGTCAGTTGAAGGCCACGGCCGGTCGCACCCTGGCCTGAAATCGATACGGATACTGTAGGCATGCCTCCGGTTGCCCCGGTTCCCTCGGACGAGTTCCAGTTCATTGTGCTATCTGTCACGACTTAGTGGAACGCTTCAATCAGCAGTCCTATTTTTCTGCCTATTGTTAGCTTTATCTCCGTTTTTCACCCTCGCTACGAACTGTCACCGTCGATGGTGGTAGTTAATGTAGGGTACCACATTATTAAATGGTTCTGCATTATTCTCTGTGTTTTCAACTGTGGTAACTTCTTAATTCTGATTGATACATCCAACGCATAAGGCCTTATTGGGTAATCGCAGCCGATGGCGAGTAAAGTGCACTTGTTGCGTGACCGCCTTGCTAGCACTTGATTCCCTCTGCTGACGAGGACGGAAGGGGACTGTTTAGGAGTAGTAATCTGATGATGTGTTCCCTTTGACAGAAAGAGGTAAATGATTTTAGACATCATAGCGGGATGGAGTGCGAAGTTACGGGGCAAGCCGCACTTCGTGGTTGAGTGAAGTTGTCACTGCTGGATTGGAGAGACAGACGTCTATGCAGCAGTAAGCCACAAATCACGGAGTGACGATGAAATCGATCTGCCTTTCATTTTCATATGGTTTCTTGAAATCGTGTTTTTAATTGTCAAAGAGTTAGAAGCATCGTTCAAAATGATCCGAGAGAAAACATCCGAGTTCACGAACTACACTATTGTACGCATTACAGATCACTCCGTATCACCTAAATCACTGTACAGGTTCCTCCGCTAGCTGCACAAACGCCAACGTTTTGCGCGGCTCCCTGGGTACAATTGTCACTACTCCACCTGACAACAAGCAAAATTGTCCCGCTGCAATACCATTCGCATCTTGTCCATGAGTCGAATCCGAATTGCCAAATTGACACCGACCTATGCGTTCAAGCGTTATTCAATCGGTTTGCTAACCCGCCCACTGGCTGGGCTCTGAACGTCCAGATAGAGCCGAGCCTTTTTGAGCTAATAAGATTATTAGAAGCAATCGTGGTAAAGCATGATCATTAAATAGCGCTCCCTGTTTAGTATAGCACGTGGTGTAGTTTCAAACAGAATCAATCATTCGACAGAAACTCGTTGCTGTGGCGGTGTCGTTATGGTACCGATCGGTTGCACACGATACAAACATTGAGATGTACGAACGTGCATGTGTCATGTTTCTGATCTGCCGTTTTTTCTAATGGTGTCTTTTCCCTCTGGAGTGTTTCATTCTGCGTTAAGACGTCGCTATGAAAACGCTGTAACGCGTCGATGCAGTATCAAGACTCTGGCACCTAAGGCATTGCATAACGATGCTGGGGACTATACGTTCACAGTGGTCTTCAGCCGGCCCCGTTCGATCTCCACTGTCTTACACTCGCAATAAGCCGAACACCGGAATACACATCCGACGGCGAACATCATTGCACTCACAACGGTGTCCATTGGCTATTGGGAGCACTCGTTCGTATAAACATTTCGATCGTTTAGTCGTCGCTTATATGATCTCCGATCATGTACGTGTGTTTAAATGATAACAGCAGCAGCAGCAGCAGCAGTTGTCACAGTAATAATATTATAGTAGCAGTAATATTGTCAATGGTCGTTGCTGACACTCTATATGATTCTGTAGATTCGACACAATGTTACACTCTTTCGGTTTTCGTCCCATCGCAATCTCTATCTATGTATAACTGAATACGGGTTTGTCTCCCGTTTAACTGAATGCTAGCCTTCCTCTAAGTTCATCTGGCCAATTTCGTAAGAAGCAACGATCGAATTCTCTCAGAACCTGTGCCGTTGTTACCACTATCATTGCTGCTCCCATTTACTGTCACCCCCCTCTGAGCACGCTACTACTCATAAAGGGCTTGCCGTCAACTACAGAGAAGGCTTTGCCAAGCAAATGGCTACCAGAGTCGAAGCAACAAACGACAATGATTCGACAGCAGCAGCAGTTCCAACAGCCACAGTAACAACAACTGATGGCGTGAACAACGCTGAGGGAGGGCAGTACGAATGTTGGAGAGAGTTGCCGTAATGTTGAAGGGGGTGCGTCCGTGCAGTGTTGACGAGACCCGTACGCTGCTGCTATCGCAATAGTCGCTGCCGTAACTTTCGTAGTGGCCGCGGAGCGGCGGAGAACTCTACAGCATCGGTGGCTAGCAGCAATAGTAGCAGCCCCGTCGACGCTGGCGGTTGCGATAAGGCTGACGACAGGTCGCGTTCAGTAACAACAGCAGCAGTGGCGGGCGTAATGAAGCTATAGTAACTTAAGCGAGAATTTTCTTATCTTTGTAGCTGTTGCTTTTATAACTCCTGCTGTAGCTGCTGTCATCTAGATTTCGGAGTTCTGCGGTAACAGCATGATGGCGCCTGCAATATCTACTGCTACCTTGAAGGGTACAAGGGGAAAGGAACAACTGGACTGCTGACGGCAGCATCATTACCAGCAAAAATTAAGGAAGGTAGTGGCATCGTCAGCATCATCAACCCACATTACAATCATAGCTACTAAAAGCATCTAAGATATCGACGACGACAACGACATCGTTAACTAACAGTGATTCTATGCTACTTCAGCGGAAACGATGAAGGCTTTGTTGTCATTGTCGTCGTCGTCGTCGTCGTCGCTGCTGTGGTATCCGCAGCGATGTGGTGTCGGCTAGGCTGCCTGTTCCCCTCTCTTTGTCACGCTCTCAGCGGTCACTGTCAGCACCGTTCCCTCCGCTGTCGGTATGACTCTGTACATGTGCACATCTGTACGTGTCTGTTTGCGTATCGTTTCTTCTGCGATGCTGCTTTCGACGGTTGTCGCATCGTTTCTACTGCAGCGATCAACGCCGGTGCCACCGTGGGTAACGCTATTGCACTGATGCTACGCTACAACTGCAATTTTCTTAGCCGCTTGCGACCAGCTGTCAGCGGTGAGCACCGCATCAACGCCGTTTCGGCTTAGGAAGCGATTGCTCTCACAGCAGTATTAGCGATACGAGCGATGGCCGCCTGGCGGTCACACCAACAATAAGTTTGTTCCATCCTATCTATCACATCTGAACAACAGCAGCAAATCCACACCGGAGGAGATTCTGTTTGCTGCTGTTGCTGTTAGCTCCCCGTTATTCAGTCAAATCGACGTACGGACGCAGAAAGCGAGGAATGACCAGCCGACAGTTGGTCGGCCTGATGTTGCTTGGCACAGGCGCGGGTTTCTGTTCCCGCCTATAGGAATTGAAGCGGCATCGGCGGCTATTTACGTCGGTAGCGGCGCCAACAGCTGTAGAACTGCCTTTGCCAGTGGTTACAACAGTAGCAATAACCGTCTGATTGACACTTGACGATTATCATGGCTTAGAGAAAACTAGAACTGTTCATATGTATGTAGAAAGAAAAACAAGACAAAAGGGGGAAGAAAGAAAGTGGACTCACGTTGATTCTCACCCACTAACTCATCAGATGAGCTCTTATTAATAGATAGATTCGCTATCGTACGGAGCGAAAGCAAATTACAGAACCAGCAGTAGCTAAACTTCGTCGGTGATTACTTTAATGCTACCATAATATTATAACAATAAGGCAGATCGCTTAAATATTACTAATTTGCCCTGATCGATAAATGCATGGTCGTGCCGCATATTGTTCATCTTTTCAATTCTTTTAAGTCACTGTTTATAGAGCTGACAATTGACCCTTACTACCGCAACTAGTTCAGACAGCTTTAACCGAATGAGAAATGTGACGCGGCACCTCGGAGCAGACTAAAAACGGATCATCTTGAGCCGGCTGCATTCATTGCAGAACAGTGTTAGAAGCTACGAATGTTGCTGTCGGCTGTGAAGCAACGATGAACCTGGAATAGCTTCGCCGAAAAATGCACCGCTTGTCCAAGAAACGATCATCAATAACAACAACAGTGATGACGATCAAGCGAGGGCCATCCGAAGAAATCCTGTCTCAGAACAAGTTGTAGACAGATATTGGGCGAGGGCAGTACTCGTGCACCTCTCAGCTAACGAATTGGGAGGAACGACGCCTTAGCAGGGCACTAATAACTGAGAACAAAGGCCCAGCTCCCAAGGAGCAAGTAAGACCATCTGAGGAAGTTCACTCATATGCAGTGAGAAAACAGCAAACGGACGATAAAACCCGAAATAAAAGAGCTGTTGAAGCCAAAACTGGAGTGAAGTGCTGAAACGGTTGAGACGTTTGCAATATGAAGAGAACCTGTAAAGACTGTAATGGCGGATGAGATGACGAGAAGCTTCAAGAAGCTACCACAATCTCACAAGACCGTTGGCAGTGTGAGCAAGAAGACGAAAAATAAAAAAAAAAACAAAAATAAATAAAGCCGATACTAATGGTATAGTCTGCATTTCAGAGGACGGATCGGATGCGGTAACCTCACTCAAACTCTGACAAACAATCAGGAGCACAAGCACAGTGCCTAAAAATTATGTCAAACGATCCATACACCGGTTCTAAATAAGATGCGTTTTCAAAATTAACGGTATATCAAATGTTTAACGTACCCATTTTATGAATAAACAAAAAAAAGTTCTCTACCTGCTCTGCTTAGTTTCAGATCAATTAAAATGTAAGTGGGTCGTATCTTCGTAAATTTCTTACAACAAGTAAAACTTTATCTGGTGGGCGCCCGGTGGGTTTACGAACTCTACGACTTTTCCAAAGCCACCTTATAGAATCTTTCCTTTGATCCTGAGCAAAGCAGAATGCAATTGACAATATTTTCCGATAAATCAACGCTCCCCTGGTCTAGCCTCGTGTCATTTATTCTGTTCTTTTGCCCCGGTTATCTTATCGCTCTTAACTATCTTTCAAGCTATGTACCACACCTAACAGGTCTCCTCTGCTTCACGACTACCTGAAGTCTATTACCCAGCGAATTCCTGTCGTTTTGTCATAAAATCACAAAACGCTTCGGTTACAATATCTATAGTTAGTTTTCAGTGCTCTTCTTGTTTTCATCCTAAAAAAGCCATTAGGCGTAATCATCAAGTAATCTGACTAACGTAGTATTTTAGTTAGCTTGAATTTCATGTTTGCTGCGCATAATAAGCAATAGTAAAACGACTGAAGTCTGCAAACAATGTCAGTACGTCTACAAACAATGCACGAATATAACTACAGTTCATGGTAGTTTGCTCGTCTGGCGACAAGGGCAGCCAAAGGAAAAAGCCAGATCAAGAGATACACAAATTAATCTCTAAAAGGACAACCAACATAACAGTGCCGTAAGAGGCTGCAGATAATTGTTGTAAGGCCAAAGTGCTAGCGGGGATATCGAGATGTGAGATCAAATGAATAGAGGAGCCGTAAATATAGTTGTAGTAAATATAGTAAAACCTGGTCGGCCAACGTCGTTGCAGACAGGACTCGAAATCGTCAAAAAGATTTAGTAACCTGCCGAAAATTCCAACAATACGGAGACTTGTTTGACACAATTTTCAACAACCTAGCCGAAATTGAAGTAGCAGCAAGATACAATTCTAGTGTTACGCACCAATTTTTGATACTATCGACTCTGTTATAGAGCTTATTTGTTAGATGAGTTGTTTTATAAGGCCTACGTAACTACTGGTGTAAAGTCGAGTGCATACATTGTACCAAAGACTAGTTACGTACAATGGTAGTTTAAGTAAATTAAAAAATATATCACACCCGAATGGTTCAAGCACCGTAAAGGCACAAATGCACAATTTTAAAATTGCACCACCGCACACTATCCCGTTTGAACTCAAACCGTTGGCCCGTGTACATCACTTACCGATACACATACTCAGCTGTATGTGCATTGTGTAACGGGTGCCTTTCTAATCAGAGACATACACAAATAGATTACATCTGTACGGCTTAATCATTACAATGAATATCGAACACACAGTTCGCTGATACGCACACCGAATGCACGGTTTAACTTAGGCCGCATTTGTCAAAGGTCTTAACATGAGACACGTTAAGCTTATCGGTTGGTCATTTTCTATCACAGAATAATATTCTCCGGTCAAATCATAGGCACCGATAGGATAATAAAAGTGGTTGAAATATAACAGTACGGCCTGGTCCAAACACGAATTCAGGTATTTGCGTGACCCAATTTAGATGACCACTCAACAGGTAAACTCAAACGATCCATGCTATGAGGAGCAATGTGTCTTTCCTATTTTGACAAAACTTTTCTTGGCTAGGAACTTAAGATCCTAAAAACTGCTACGGTGATAACCAGTCAATCTTTCTAAACGTTCAAAATTCGCTCTATAGAATTGGCAGTTGATTACATTAATTCGTTTATGTCGCACCAAAATATGATAGATGTATGTTCATTGCTAACATAAAATGGCACATTTTATAGCGGGATTTTTCGGGAGAACAAACTAAATGGTAATATTATAAAACTTTTCTGACGGCATCGGCGATCACCATCTCCCTGCAATTTCCAGATTGCGATTTCTATTTTTGCGCCTGCGTGCAATTTCAACTGCAGTAATCTCTCCCGATTCTAGCGAACGCGCCTCTAATACTAGGAAATGTTTTGAAATTCAAGCGTTTTCTACCACACGTACATTTCAAGGTCTAGCCATGCTTTTCGGTATAGACAAGATATGTACGCTATGCCACACGTAAAATGATTACACGATAAGATTGTTATTTTATATAACTCTATAAGCTTCTCCTTCAAGCGATTTGTCGTTTCAAACTGTACGTGTTTACAAAATTGCCTATATTACACTTACCGGTTTCCCGAATATGTATTATCAGGCGAGCAACATACGATAGGTATTGATCCTAAAAGGATTGACACAAGCCAAGAAATACGTGCACATAGGAAAAGGAACACATTTTAATAGGTGGCTGGAACTGGGGCCCTACTTTGGGTCGAGGGTGATTTCAATGCATATATTGCTGTTGTCGGACATAGATCCATTAATTTATTAGAATAAGTCAATGGTCGATGACATTGTCGATATACAGTTACGGTAAATCCAATTTGAATTTGGCATACGAGCAGTATTGGTTAAATATTGGCTGAAGGGCATATAGTATAAAAAAAAATTAACTTAAAAAAAAATAAAGACTGCTTGGCTAGCGAATTAAGTGATTACTATTCAAGTAATAAGTAGGGGCATAAAATATAATATTATTCGACAACATTTCAATCTTGACAATAATTCACATGACCGCATAGCATAGTAATACTGCTATGGATGTTCCGCTCAAATGCCGGAATTTATTTGCCCTTACCTTTGTGACCGATTTGTTGAACGCGTGGTTTTCCATGTCGCCTGCGTTTTTATATTGCGGATTAGGCGAACTCCGAATAG